AGGACAGGATGTAGGACTGTAGGGAGATGATCAGGTCACAGTGGCAGAGCTCCCACGTAGCATTTATACCTCCACAAGAGAGACCCCAGACACCCTTCCAGTCCTTTCTCTCACGTAAGAACACCAAAAAGAGATTTCAGCCATGAGCCAGAAAGACGACTCCTGCTGGAGACCAGCCCTGCCTGTACCTCGTACAGGAGTTGCCCAGGGTGCATAACTGTGAATGTATTTGTGTTGTTTATGAGTCACCCAGGTAAGGCATTTCCTTGTAGCAACCCAAGCCGGGGAACACAGAGAGTAAGGACTTGGGTCCCAGCCTCAAAGGTCATTTGGAACTCTGTTATAGGCTTGTGAAGAATTTCACGTTGAAGAATCATGAGCGCAAATGCACACTGGTGTTCTGGTGGAGATTGTTTCCTGGAACTTGCCTTATAATTCTAATGTCTCTCAAGTTGAGAATCTGCTAGTTAATTCCCAGTGTGTGTGGGGGGGAGGGGTGAAGCCCAGAGCAGCACAGCACATTCTCTGTGTGGGAGGCAAGGCACTTCCACAGATGTGCTAGGAATTGTGGTCTAGCCCAGCACCTCTGGAACCTTTAAAAAGCTCAGATTCTGATTCAAGGTGCTTGGCTTGGAGCCCGGGATTCTGTATTTCTTATAGGCTCCAGGGTAATGACAATGCTGATGTAGTCTGTGGTTAGAGTGATAGAATCCCACAGGAAACATTGGTCAGTAAACCCTGGACAGTTGGTCAGAAAACCCCGGACTGAGAAGACCAGGCCTGATCTCCCCTGCTCCCCTCCTCCAAATCACCAGTTCCAGGAACTAGGCCGTAGGTCATCAATTCCAGGAACAAGACCAGAAAATCCCCTATGCAAGGAATAGCCCGTAGGTAACCACAAGAATGGGAAGGTATCTTATCTCAGGGTGAGGCATCTGTGCTGGGCAGACTACCGACCTTGTAGAAGAACATTCAAGGCACAGAAATACCTAATATTCTTGAGGTCTATGGATAGCTCACTCAATGTTAGTTATGTTAGCTAGCCAATCACTTTGTGACAAGCTTGTCCTTGTTGAATGTCACCCAAACGTGTAACTGCTAAGCTGGAATTTCTGTGCTGTAACCCTAAAAAAACAAAAACAAAAACAAAAACAAAAACCCCTTTCTTCCTGAGCGCAGGGCTCTACACTTGAGAACCCCTGTGTCAGTGACGGTGTGGGCCCAAGCTTGAGCTTCTAATAAAGACCCTACTGAGTTTGCATAGATCCTTGGTGGTCTTTGGGGTCCACAAGAGTTGGGCATAGCAGGGCGGTGAGAACAGCAGAGGTCATACAGGAGCAACTTAGCTTTCGTTTATGTATCGCTGCTGTATGCATTCCTCAAGTGTGTGTGCCTCTCTCTCTTTCTCTCTCTCTGTGTGTGTATGTGTGTGAGTGTGTGTGTGGTTGTTCTTTAGTGTTCTTTTACTGGTTTAGGACTGACCAGCAGCACTACTCTATAAGGATTAGCTGATCTGAGCATACAGAAGAGGAAGGAGTGAAGGCAGGTTTACATTGATGGAGATACACATACTGCAAGTTCTGGGAATGGAGCTGAAAGACCAAAAATTTTAAAGCTCCCGCCACCTGGGAAAAGAAACTAGCTTAATGCATTCTATCCCTGCCCACTAATTATACAGTTGCTAGGAAACCAGCCCATATGACCAGGCCAGAACCGTTGGTGGTCTTGGTGCCTAAAGTGGACCAATCATTTCAAAAGTCAGTTTTCCTTACCCAATCATGTAATGCCAAAGCATGTAAGTCCCTGCTTCCGGTTTTGCCCTGTAAAAACCTGATTCACCGTGAGGGGCCGCATTCCTCTCCTGTCTCCACAGGAAGTTTGCGTCCCAGTGTTTGAACACGTATACAATTAAAAAACCCTCAAGTGTTTAGAGTGGAGTCTATTCCTGGTCTTTTGGTGTTAGCAAACCGGGCATAACAGAGCAAGGCAGATTCTGACTGCTGAGGTATAGGACAGGCAAATGGGTAAGTGGGTGGCTCCAGGTCAACTTATCCCCAGAGAAAACCAGTGCATATGAGACGGTAGCAGTGTCATCCCAGGTAGCTACCATCAGTTTCATATCTAGGGTACTTTAAGGCAGAAATCATTAAGATACACTTTAGAAAGTATTTTGAAAAGCCATTCCCAAGATGATAGGCATTCAGCCAAAACCAAACTTCCAAATCTGCCTGAGAGGGATGAACTTCCTTCTCAAGAGAAGAGGCATCCTCACAAGACAGAATGAGCGACCAAGGGAAGAGAATCTTAACTACCAGTTAGATGGGAACTCACAGGAGGCCAATGAAATTCCACATTGTTCCCCAAAAGGAACCTGGGCCTGAGAATAAAGCTTGCTTGAACATAGCCTGGCAAGTGGTTCTGAAGTATATTCTCATTTGGGTTCCTGGTACTTGTGAGTGTTCCCTTATTTTAGAAAGGGTCCTTGCAGATGTAACTGAAGATTCTGATATGAAATAATTTGGGGTTAATCTGGGTAAATCCTAAAATAAATGTCAACTGTCCTTATAAAGATGGTGGGAGATCTGAGACAAGCAGAAGAGGAGAATGTCATTAGAAAAGCATGGGATTAGAGCAATGGAACTACAAACCAAGGAATCCTGGTAGCCAACAGAAGCTGGGGGAAGCAGAAAGGACCCTCCACAAGGGCCTGCAGAGTTAGCACTACTCTGTCAACACCTCTCTTTGAACTTGGACCCTTCAGAATTAAAAAAGAATACATTTCTATTGTCTCTCTCTCTTATCTATCTATCTATCTATCTATCTATCTATCTATCTATCTACTTATTTACTTATTTATTTATTTATTTATTGCTTTATTTCAAGACAGAGCTTCTCTGGGTAGCCTTGGTTATTTTGGAGTCACTTCGTAGACCTGGCTGGCCATGAACTCACAGAGATCTGCCCTCCCTTGCCTCCCTGAGTGCTGGGATTACAGGTGTGTGCCATCTCTACCCCCTGAATTTCTATTGTCTTAAGTCCTTGTGCTTTATTCCTTAACCACAAAGCTCTAATGAACATGCAGCATGTAAAATTACACTTTGCTACATTTATCTCAGAGCATAGTTTGGGGTCTGAGAACTCATCCCCTTTAGTGAAGCCACAGATCCTAACGGTATTACCTCCCTCCCAATCCCCAGCCTTCTTATTCCCATTGTCATGGACTAGATTTCCACTATTACACTCTGTTCCTTTCCAGGCAAAGACTGGCCAAGGATGCTGAAATTCAGAGATACTAAGGATGTTGTAAGGATACACCTGCTGTAGTCACAGACAGGAAAGGTAACCTGAACAGTGGTCCAGGTGTCAAGCCCCTCTGTGGACTGTATGCCAAGGAGTCCCTTGTTCATTCCTCTGCAGTGAGAATAGGGGTCCAGGATGGGGTCCAGCTCTCCCTTCTAGTGAGCCTTCTAGTGGGGTTAGGCTACTCAACGTTGACCCTCATGGAGTCTGTGGGTGCTCATGGTACCACATCTTTTCCTTTGGTTATAGCTGTACCCTGCTCTAACCCAGCATCTGTTTGCCAAATAGAACCATTTTCTGTGTGTTACCAAGTGCTCCTCTGGGAGCCCAGAGCCACTGAGAGCCAAATTGTTCTCCCTACTCTAGGCCTTATCCTGTTTTCCAGAAGGCTCTGTAATTTCTCAGCCATCCACAGAATTAGGTAACTCCCCCAAGATCACACAGCTGTGAAGTGATGGAGCAAGAGATTGTAAGACACCCAGCTGACTTCAACACATTCTCTCTGGTATTATCAACCTGAGAACAATTTGCACCACATCAATGATGCCATGTACCCAAGTCAAAAAGTAGCTAAGGTCGATAAATATCTATGTAAACAAAGTTCAGAGTTGGTACCTATATTTGTCATTTTTCTACAACATTGTGACAACATATTTGTCAGAAAAATTAAAGGGAGAAAAAATTCACTCTGCTTGTGGTTTCATATACACCTGGCCATCACAATGGATAAGGTGTGACACAGGAGTCTCCACACCATGGCATTTAGGAATTGGAGAGAAGAAATGTAGGAAGAAGTCAGTGCAGACATAGCACCCAAAAGGGTTCTACTTCCTTTGAGCAAGCCCACCTCTTACTTTTTGCTACCTCCCAGTACCACCAATCATATTTATTGAACCATCATGGGAGTGATCCATTCATTAAGCTGGAGCCCTCGGGATCTAGCTGTCTCTAGAGACTGCATCACAGGCATGGCCAGCCCTGTGCTTCTCAGTCCAACCAAATTGATGGCCCAAATTAAGTGCCACAGCACATCAATTTTCTCTCATTGAAGGTGTTACTTTTGCATTGTAGATATTCCTTATGCATTTAAGACTGCTCCTTTTTCCTCTATATTCACAGACATGGCTGAGTTTTTCTATACACGTTTGGTTATCCTAATCAATCCCCTCACTTATTCCAGCTTTGTGCAGAGAAAGCAGGGTTCTACGTTTTATCTTGTGGGAGTTACTGGGTGTTTATTGATACCATCACACACTGGCTGTGAGTGACTTCTGGGATTTCTGCAGGAGTGTCTGGTGTCTCCGTTCTGGACTTCTCAGTCCTGTTCTAGATTCACACCTATGGTGGATCAGAACAAGTGTCCTGTGCACAAAAATGCAGCAAGTGGACACCCAAGCACACAGCACACCCTGTTTCTTAGGACATCCCCTTCCAACTGGAGCATGATGACGCCACTATTGATGTATCATACGTCTTGTGGCTTCTGTCTTCTCTAGAACAGAGGTTCTCAAGCAGTGGGACACACCCACCTCTGGGGCTTGCGTATCAGATATTTACATTAGGATTCATAATAATAGAAAATTACAGTTATGACGTAGCAACAAAAAAATTATGGTTGGGGTCATCACAGCACTGGGAAGGTTGAGAATCACTGCCTTAGAAGATAGGAGTTGGAGTTCAGAGTACTGTCTGGTACTTACTGGCTGTTCATGGTCCTTGGCTCCTGGCAAATGAGAGGGATCTTCAACTCAGCCTGTGGAGACAAAAACAAACTCGTTACTGGACCTTACGCATCATGTTTTAGTTCTGTTGAACATGCTATCTCTGCTTCTTTGTAGGATTTGATGCAGGTGCTGGCCTAGAGGAGGGGAGAGGAAGCAAATCAATGTAGGTCAAAAATTGGTTTATTTCTGGCACAGGGTTGGGGAGGGCCCCCCTCCCCGTACATGCTGTCCTCCTTCTGTCAGCGTTCATCCCATCTGCCCTGGGGAGCTGAGCAAACATGCACTGAGTCTGGTTTTCCCTTGCGTGCAATTGTACGCTTTCTCTGGGCACCTAGGGAGCGTTAGCCCTGGCTTCCTTGGCTCTGCTCCGAGGAGTCCACAGGCTTGCTGAAGCAGGCTGGAAAAAGGATGCTTTTCACTTCCCTGTGACTTTTCCATAAAATATTTACTGGAAGTTTCATTTATACACATACCACTTTGCATCACATTTTACTTGAGCCCAGTATTCACCCTCAGAGGAGGGATCATTAACTGCACTTACCATATAAATTAGCAGCAGAAACGCTGGGAGCTTGCGGTAAGTGCTTTACATCAATGACTGTGTTCAATCTATTCAAAGACTCAGGGAATTATGCAGGATAGTTCACTGCATTTTCTGGAGGTCCAGCAAGAAGCAGTCCTCTTATTAAAGAATTTCAGAATACTGTAATGTGAAACTTTTGAAAATTGTGAGCGGGTGGGATGCAAAAGATAGTGGGGTAGCTGGGGGTGGAAGAAAGGGGTGCTGTCATTTTGCTGAGAAGGGTGAAGGGAGGGCGACTGGGATTCAGTGACTGAGTGGAGGAGCAGCTGATGTTTTCAACTGAGGCAGCTTCAGGATGGCACTCCAGAGGGTGGATGAAAATAGCCATTGCATGCTCCTTCTGCCCTGATGTCTCCTATTGGCTAAAGTCAAGAAGAATTCAGGAGCAAGGAACCATTGATACCTATTCATGCCCATTAGACCCCTGGGGCTCCTGATAAGTAGGACAGGGCAGAGAGTGGATTTCACAGCTTGAAAATGAAGCTCACATGGTTGATTATGTGTCCATGTACACCTATCTCCAACAGGACCCCATTTCAGAAATTCTGCTTCCAAAGGTGTCATCATATTGCACATCAACAAGTCTCACATAGCTTAAGTCCACAGTGCCATATGTCTACCCATCTCTTTATCTATCCATGTATCCAACCCCCATGGACTGAAGGCTCTGTGTAAGTATTGTACCCAGTGAGATCCAACCCCTGCCTGCAAGATGCTTCTAAAGTGAAAGCTAATGCAGTTTCTTCACCCTTGTAAGGAGATGATGGTGGTTTAAAGTACATTGTAAAGATAGACACATCCAAGACAGAGCACAACAGGTGCCAACTGTGCCGTGGGAAGTAGATGGCTCTTCTCATGGTAGTTGAAGCTGGAGCTAGAGCCAGGTCTTGCTGAAGAAGTTTAGATCTTCTCAGCTCAGAGATAAGGTATTCTGGGCTAACGTACACAGGCCTTAGACTGCATGGGGTGTCACAGGGGCTTTGTAAAGGTGGTTGGGTCACCATAGAGGTCATGTTGGCCCTGCATGTAGAAGAACTTGGGGAGCTTACTCAGGAATGGCAAGGACAGTTCATCTCCAAAGGTGGGATTCATACTTGATCTCTGTGATCTTGGAGTAAGTGCTGCAGAAAAGTTACTGAGGAGCTTGGACTGAGATCAGGTCCTTTGACACCCTGCGTACTGCTCCATGCCATGCCTCCCCTTATAGCACTGACAGCAAGAAATGCAAGAGCCATTGTTAGGCTTCTGTTCACATGTGGCTCTTTTGCCAGAGTGGTGTGTCTCATTCATGGTACCCTTCAGAAATCATCTCCTCTGTGGTGGTGAGAAGAGGATTAAAGCCATATCAGTGAGACACAAATGTAAGTTCCAGGCCAAGGAAAGAGTAAGAGCTGTTACTATCTAGATGTGCAGCCTTGGACTTAGTCTTCTGTCACTTAGAAACGGTGGCATCATTATCTTTGTTTTATACTATAAAGTGTTAAATAAACTAATGTACATGAAATTGTCTTGCAAACTAGAAAATACAATGAAGTATGGATGTACTACTACTGATATAATAATGTTAGCAAGCTACACCAGCATTAATCATGTTATATTTTGGTATCCTACAAAGTTAAAGCTATTAATACCTAATAAAAATAAATTATATTAATACGGTTAGATAGAAAAAATGGTCTTAATGCCATGCATAAGAATTTTCTTATATAGTCCCTTTGTTCCTTTGTGCATAGTTGTGGTACTGAAGTGGAATTAAGCTCTTTACAGAGGACTCCCTGTATGCCTGGCTCTTAGCCAGCTCTTAGGTACACGGCTCCAAGGCACAGGAGAGTTCCTTCCAAGGCTTGTGGGCTCACATCAGGAAAGTGGGAAATCCTAATTCTGCCATCTGTACTGTAGCTCTGCACAAATCATGAGAGCTTGCTTGGTCGAATTTTCTTCATCTGGAGTAAGCAATTGGGCTAAATAAGTCTTTTTTAGCTCAAAGATTGCACAATACAGTTCCCTTAAAAACTATAATCCATCCAAATTTGATGACAACAATGGCTTTAAAATGTTAGAGGTATGTTATTAAATCTCTTGCATTTTATTGGCTTCTCCAATGGAGTTCCCTGTAAAACAAAATTGCAGTGTCTCTGAGAAATAGCTATCATAGAAGAAAGCAGGGAAGTTTGATGAGAATCTTTGTTGCCTATATGTAAACCTCTGTAATTTAGTTGATAAGTCTCATTTGTATTTTAAAATAGTAAAGAAAGTCATCCCATTAGTGATTTCTGAGCAATGTGAGCAGTATATTGAACAAAGAATGCTTTAAAGTAATTTTTAATGAGCCAAACTCTTTTGGAACTGTAGAAAGTAAAACTCATGGTCTGAGTGACCTACCTCAGAGGAGCCTAAGTCAGCCAAACGGCAAGGCCGCTGCAAAGGCAGACATTACCCACTACAAGGCCACAGCTTGCTGCTCTGCCTAGATTGTCTGGAGCTCTTCTGAGAACACAGTACTCTTATCTGATTTCCTTTTCATAAAGGATGTGGTAAGTGGTTCAGTTAGAATTGCACATCTGCCAGTTTTCTGAAGATAATACAGAGTAGGAAAGACAAGACGCTTTCCTTCTGGACATATACTGTGAGAAAGAGAACCAAATGTACTGTGAGGCCCTATGTATGTCACAGGGACTCACTGAGTTTGTTCAATCATCTTCATTTGATATGAAGACAAACTAATGTTCACAATGTTAAGTTCCTGGTTTTCCAGGGCAAAACCATACCTGGTATTTGAAACTCATTTGGTCCTGATACTTTGGGTATGTTTTGTGATGGCTGTTTGGTTGTTTGGTGCCTTTGTTTACCTTTCTGTAACATGGTAGTTGTATACCAGTGATTGATTAGGATGTTTGCGAAGACGATGATGTCTTAGATATCACAGACAGGAGATGTCTGTGATAGAAATGAAGTGCACAAGTGTTTTTTTTATTTTTGTTTTTTGTTTTTTTTTCTTGCAGCTAACACTGGGACTATCATTAAAACATCACAGTAACTACCATAGTTGGGTTTGCTTTGAATATAGGTCCAAGTGAAGACAAACAACCAGAAGGACTCACATAAAATAAACAAGAACAGAGTAGAAAAGGGGGCAAAACTAAGATTCAGAGGACACCTATATCATAACAGATGTACAAAACACCAAGCACTTGAACCTGAAGATGAATTAAATACCTGTTGCTGCTTTCAGGTTTGAGTCTCCAGAAGCATGGTGTACATAGCCAATGGTCATAGACACTGGCTCCACAATCATAGGTGTTCTGTCAGCCGTTTGCATCTACCTGGGCTGCAAAAGGTATTGTGCCCTGAAAAGTCCCCTTGGATTGTCTGGGCAGCAGTCTCTGTATGATGGCAGTCTAAATACCCCAGATATTTCAGATAAGGTTTGGATGTGCAGGCTGTTATGGTCATAGACTACCTCAGATATGATGGGAAGGTTAGCTACACTTCAAATAGATGGCTACAAACACAAGCTTCTATAAGGGGCACAAATTGGACTTGATAGGTTAAAAAAATAAATGAGGATATGAAGTTTTGTGTTTGGTGAAGGGGGGTGGACCTGGGAGAAATTTGGAGAGGGAATGTGATCAAAATACATTCTATAAAACTTTCAAAGAGCTAAGAAACATAAAAGAAAATAAAGCCACACAAATTAGAAATGTTTTAAGTTTATGAGTTTAGTTGGAACATATTCATTGTTGCATGTGGCTTGGGGCCTGGTAGGTTGGATGTATCTGAAAGTCTAAATCTTATTTAAAGGGGCCAGAATCTGTTTACCATTTGGTTTGGATTAGAAATCTATGGTTTCATTTTCAATGGTAGAGTCCCTTTAGCTTTCTTTTCTCCAATATGTTTCTGAAATCTAAAAATGAGGATTGAGAAAAAAAGTGTCTGCCCTCCCTACCCTTACTAATACAGCACTTGAAATCTTAGCATTGCAGTAAGAGAAGAGAAGAAACAAACAAAAATACAGATAGAAAAGGAAGAAGTGGAATTACGACTTGTTTCAGGATATTTGATCCCATTGTGAACCCCAAAACTGTGAACTATAAAACCCTGTTTATTGTTTGGTTTGGCTGAGCCCTAACACACCTTTAGTCAAGAACTTTCTGTTTATTGCAAATAGGTGATTGTGGTGTAGTTAACCTAGCCCTAGCACACACCTTTAATCCAAGAGCTCTCTGTATATCTGATCTTGACCTATGCCTAGGTCAAGAGGCATAGCAAGAAACCAGCTGATGGGGATTAAAGAGTAGGGGGACCTTGAGTTGAGGGGTATTCAAGACCGATTGGAGAAGAAGAGGAAGGAGGGGGAGGAGGGCTTTTTAACTCAAGCTATGGCTTTAGCTTAGGCTTCAGATCCTCAGCTCTGGCTTTTTGGGCTTTAAATTAACAAGCCTTCAC